ATGTTACATGAGGCAATCTTTAGAGTGAGGAAACGAAAATTGGACGGACGGACGGAAAGACGGAAATATGGACGGACGGTCAAGGATAACATTTAATGCCCACGTTGCCTACTGCAGGGGGCATACAAATGAATTGGTAAAAATCTATTTTGAAATTTAACATCGGTTATGAAAGGATCATTTAGTAGATGGAGTAAATGTTCACAATTATGGAAACCTGTATCAGAAATCTACATGGAAATATGGCTGATCCTATATTGTTTCTGTTCAATTAGTTCACATTGGTTTTTATTATCAGCAGTAGATGCGCATTTCGACAGATAATGTCTCTTTAAAGAAGAGCGGGGTCAAAACATTTGAAAATCCAAATTGTTAGGTGTTGTTTAAAATAGTGCATAAAAAATAATACAATGATGAAACCAGTCCTACTTTGTTTAGATATAATATGCATATCATGACTAAAGAATGATATTAACTTACTTCTATATTTTTTTCTTTCCTTTTGCTAGCCAAGCAGACGGATTTTAATTACCATTCATATTTACTTAGCTTTACAAAAAGGATTACCATTACAAGCTGGATTCGAAAAAAATACGTCTGGTTGAATTTGAACTATATGTAAAAAAATTGAAACCGTGCATGGGATAAGAAATATGGCTTAAATGAAGAGAATTTTATGTAAATCAGTTGCAATTCTTTTTCAAGTTTGTGACCTTAAATAAAGATAAAAATCGATCATTCGAGTGGCAATGTGAATATAACAAATTTGGAAACACAATCCTCCACTATCTTGGGATATTAATTATTTAATTAGTTCTTGGTTCAATAATAAATTATTTTAATAACGAATAGTATACGGTGAGATAACTGCAATATGGAAAAGTGTTCAATTACGAATGATAAGTTTCAAAATTGCAATAAATATTCGATATTATACACAAAATATGTTATCGACATTCTGCGAGAAAAATAGATGAAAACAAAATGATTAGAAGAAAATGAAAAGTATCTATGAAAAGGTGTTAAGACTTAAAGAGGAATAAATAATTATTAAAACTGATAATCCAAATAGGGTTGCAAGTAGTTGGGTTTCGCAATAAAGTTTCTTCTCAGCTACAAAGAAACAATGTTTCTTGTTTGAGAGAAAATCCTAAATGGTGCATGATCAAGCTAATGCAGTAATCCAATAGTAATTCGGCCATATCATGAGCTAAATATGCAGACCGTGTCTAATTGTCTAACGTCAAGGATTCAGACAATAACATAGATAAGATTACATTTGTTTTCTAAAGTCATAAATCAAGATTTGATTTGCCGACTTCCGTTTCAACTATGTATGGTAGCGACCAATGCGCTGCAATATGATTAACCTTACATCATATGTAATTACAATATTAATAGCTTTTCTAAAACGCTTGTAATTGGACAAGTAATAGATTTTCTTTAAAAAAATCCCCGTGCAATTAGAAAATTAATGATAACATTCCAGATGAAGGTAAATCCAGAAAAGCGCTTTGAACGCATGAAATTTATAAGGTGTTGTTTTCATTGTTTACAGGCCTGCGTCGATACATCTACTCGTGGACTATCAGTAGTCAGTACTTCGGTACTGACATGAGTTATAACAAACCTTTCAGAAATTGTAATTATAAAGAAACTAAGTTTTCAACACCCTCAGGCAAAGTTGGCCTTAGATTGATTTGGCTATTATGTAAATCCTTTTTGGTCATATAGCTCTTCAAATGTTTCGGTTCTAATACATCCTTGGCTTTCAAATATTCGGCTCTGAGCGTTTTAGATTAAAGTAAATCCAGAAAAGCACTTCTAACGCATGAATTGTCATTTTTGTTTTTTGTTTTTTTTTTTTAAATATTTATTTCAATTATTGGCTTGTTACAATATCCTTCAGGAATCCAAGCTCCTCATGATGTTCCCTGTTACATTCCACTAATCACTCAGGGCAGTAATTAGTTGTCAAATCATATTACATCCAATATATATGCAATAATATCACTCATAATGATTATTCAAATGTTTTCTAAAGGTTGCTAAATAATTATTTTGAATTGTCAAACATACTTTTCTATTGAATTCATAAAGAAAAATTGAGAAAACATTGACATTTTTTGTCTTTTGATCAGATATGTAATAGGCTTTGTAAATTGAAAAACTAACAATTGTTAAAAAATAGTTAAAGTCAAAATATTCTTCGTCAGAAATGGTATATCCAAATATCAAATGTCTTAATTTATCTTAAAAGTTATTTTACTCTTCTTCAAATCTTCATTTATTTTATCCCAAAAATGTTCTAAATACGGACACAGTATAAAGAAGTGATCATAATCTTCTTCTTGTGTACAAAAGTTACAAAAACTGCTGTTTACAATTTTCCATCTGAATAAAAGTTTCTTTGTAGGTAAAATATGTTGTAGTAATTTCCACCTAAAAATTTTAAGTTTATTTTCTTTTAAATATCTGAATAAAAATTCATATAAATTGTTTTGATATAACACATCATCTATATCAAGTATACGCAGCCATTTTTTTGGTCCAATAACTGGTTCATTTTTATTATTTATCAGAGACTTATATAAAAGTTTGTTTGATAGTGATTCTAATTTTATAGGTAAACCTTTCCATATAAATTGGTTTCTTTTTATATTAACAGTGCTTTTTATAGAATCTTCAGACTTTAACATTGCTGCCCAGCCTTTTGTTATTGATTTCTTTACCAAATTAATTCCAGCTATCCAGTTTGATTTATTTTTTAGTTTTTTAAAAATGATATCTTGTGAAATGCAGCCTTTTTCATCTATGATACCATTTACATAAATAAGATCGCTTTTAATCCAATTTTTTAAAACTATAGCTTTATTTTCAATTTTAATAAATTTATTGTTCCATAATATTTGTTTTCTTATATCTGTAAGTGTTTCAGGTTTTCTCGTTAGACCTCCACCAGTCAACGTCTAACATTTAAGGAATTTTTTTATAAAAATCTGGGATTTTTTCAAGGCTTTCTTCTGGCTTATCCCCACTGTTTGTTTGAAACACTAACCAGTTTGACCCAAAATTATAAAAAAAGTGCTGAGGTATAATTTTTCAATCTCCTTCACAATCACTTACTAGTCTTTTAACCCACATAGCTTTTAAAGCAGTGAAATAACTTCTTATATCTATCATATCTTACCCCCCCTTTTCATATGGACCAATGATCGAATTCCTTTTGACTTTATCTGCTTTATTATCCTAAACAAATTTAAAACAACTTTTTTCTATTTCTTTCAAATATTTCTCTGAAACTATGCAGGCAGTTCCCACAAAAGTGAAAATAGGCACAATTAGTGTTTTAATTATCAAATGTTTTCCCAAAATAGTAAGATTTCTTTTCTGCCAAGAACAAAATAATTTATTCATTTTTTCAATTTAATTTTCCCAATTTAGTTTTTCACATTCCTCTCTTCAATGCCCAAAATATATGCCAAGAGTTTTAACTGGTCCATTGCTCCAGTTGATTCCCTCAATTTTGTCTTTATATGATTTTAGCTTTCCTACCCATAACCCCTCTGTTTTAGCTCTGTTTAATTTCAATCCTGAATAAGAACCAAATATTTCAATTTCGTTCATTGCTAATTGAACGTCGTATTTAGAACAACAAAATAAAGTAGTATAGTCTGCTGGTTGCAAAATTTTTATACTATGATTTTTGCCATCCAATTTGATTTTGATACCTTTAAAACATTTTTGTAAAATCGGTATTGCTTCTTAATCTTGACGCCATGATTTCCACCGATAAAACAAATAGTAAGGCCGATAAAGGACATCCTTGGCGTATACCCCTGGTGTTTTTAAAGACATCAGATATCAAACCATTATTCATAACACATGTTTGGATATCGCTATACAAAGTCTTAACCCATCTTATAAAAGAATCATTAAATCCAAAATGTTTTAAAACTGAAAATATAAAATTCCATTCTAAAGAGTCAAACGCTTTAGAAAAATCAGCAAAGACTATAGCCCCTTCAATTTTGTATAAATCAGTGAAATTAATCAGCAATAATATCTTGTATCTGTCTAAAATTAAAACCAATAAATCTATTCTTTACATATCCAGTCTTGTCTTCTTTAATAAGTTTTGGTAGGATCTTTTTCAATCGTTGTTCTAGAGCGTACGAAAGAAGTTTCATGGCAATATTTAAAAGAGAAATAGGACGATAATTATTTAGTGACAAAGGATCAACTTTTTTAAATAATAGCGTTAATACACTTGTACGCTTTGAATATGTAAATGTTTGATCATTATATCCAATATTAAGAATGTTTACTACTATGTACTTTAATTTATCCCAAAATTTTCTATAAAATTCGACTGTTAAACCGTCTAATCCAGGAGATTTATTAAGTTTCATTTTATAAATTGAATCTGAGCATTCGTCTACTGTAATATCCCCATCGCAGACTGATGTATCATTTTAGTCCATTTCTTTCTCTAGTTTTGTCTCATATATATAGTTAACACTTGATGTTTTATCATGACTTTGCGTCGAGTATCACTTTTTATAGTACTCTTTAATACTACACAGTATATCACCTTGATCCGTTATAATCTCATCATTTTCTCCTTATAATTTGTTGATTGATTTTTTTACCTGTCTCTGTTTTTCTTAACCTAAAAAGTACGAGTTATTTTCCCCCCAAATTCAACCCATTTCTCTCGTGACCTAATTTGAGCCCCTTTAGCCTTTTGTTCGTAAATTTTGGTAATATCATTTTCAAGTTCTTCAATATTTTTATCTAAAATGTTATTCTCAGATTCTTGCTCATCTCTAATTTTCAATTTTATTTCTAATTGTTTTTCAGGAGTTCGTAAATTTTCTCTTGTAAATTTTGCTTTAGTTTTACAATAAGCTATAGTTGCCTCCCTTACCTTTATTTTAAATATATCCCATGCTAAACCAAGATTTTTTTTAAATTACGATTACTCATAAAACAGCTATCCATTTCTTTATCAACTAATTGTATGTAGTCATTATCTTCTAATATAGAATTATTTATTTTCCAGTACCCCCTTCCCTTTTCTGATGCACCAGTTCTAAATTTCATGAAAACACTTTGATGATCCGTAGAATCAATAATTGCAGGTTTAATTTTACAACATTCTACTAGTGGTATGAAGTCTCAACCTATCAGAATCATATCAATCCTACTTGCCTGTAATGTATCTTTTCTTCGCCAAGTATATTGTTGTTTATTTTTATTTAAATATCTCCAAATGTCAGTTAAGTTATTTATTTTTATTAAAGATTTTAAACTATTTACTGATTGGATATTTTTTACCTCTGAACGAGTATTTTTCTGTCTATCTCTTTCATCGAATCATTCAAATCTTCCCCCATTATTGTAATTCCTATCCCTTGTTCTTTTAATATATTATTTACTTTTTTGAAAAATATGTTTCTATTCCTTTTACAATTAGGTGCATATATACACATTAGTGTAAACACGCTTTCATCAATTTCTACATTAAGAAGAACTAATCGTCCATCTTCATCGTTATGTTTATTTATCAACTTATAATTCAGTGACTTTTTAATGAGAATAGCCACACCCCTACTAGAGATCATTCCATGACTGCAAAATATATCAAATTCTGAATTATTTCTTGTTTCTGTTTCTATGTTTTCATCAAAATGAGTTTCTTGTAAGAAACAAACAAAACAGTTTCGAGATTTAATCCATTCAATTACTCTGTCTCTTTTAGCTTTATTTTTAGTACCATTTACATTTAAACTACTTAAGTTTATAAAAAATTTAGATGCCATTTCAAAGTATGATTTCATATTTTTGTAATAGTTCCTCACATAACTGTACATGCCTACAAACAGTACAGTTAAAACATATTTTTATAACAATCATACAGAAATCGGCAATATACATCACTCTATTTCTACAAACATAAAAAGTACAATTCATCAGGCTACATATAATTACGGGTAACAAATAAAACACGCTACCTGTGAATACGGCATTTAATATACTGGCCTGATTTGACCTTGTTATGTTAAAATCGATAGACAATAAAATTGACAATAAAAAATATTCAACAGCCACCACGTGTTGTTCGTTACAGTCTTACATTGTGTAATCGGATGGATCTATGTTTCTGATATACGTGTACGTCTTATTCAAATAATGAGTGCATATAATTTTATCTAAATAAGTGAAATGAAGAATGTAAACATATTTAAGATAATAATGCATGTGGGCTTCACCGTTTTGCGAGGCTTCTATAACTGATTTGTTAGCTATCTTTACTTAAAAAGTAAACTGTTTGGAAGAAATAGATTTTTTAGATATATGTAGTATGAAGTGTAGAGGAATATCCGATAGTGCATTTCGTGGATTTATTACATGTACTATATACAAATATGTTTCAAAAATAGATTTTGCTAAACTACAAATATAGCATGAATGTATACGCTGACAGTAACGTAATTATTTATACATTTTAAACGGTGAGTTGTATACAGTGTTTTACCTAATGTCATCAATTGTTCATTCGCTATTGATAGCACACAGCATTTATATACTTGCGCTAAATATAGCACAGGTAAAAACCAACATAAAATTAATATGCTAAAAATATCAATAAATATTCGCTACTTGAATTTGTTCAGCGATTGACCTATAGTAAACACAATCATTGTTAATAATGTTAATGTTATAATGCACATTATGCATACACACATTTCATGAGATAGCTGGTCTTCACTAACCCAAATATAATACATTGATGGATTGAAAATGTACTTTTGTTTGATCAATGTAAAAAAATTAATTAAAAAGAACAAACAAAGAAATATCATGTGTAGCTCTTTCCAGATATCAAAATAAATTGTGAATAAAACTCTTACTTTCCACAAGTATGACTCAGAATATAACATTTTTGATAGTAATTTGAAACTTAAAATAGTTAGCAATATACTTCTTTTTCACATACAAATCTCACACTTTATATATCTTTTGTTATAGCTTATCAAAGCCTTTAAAATGAAGTTTTTGAGTTTGCATTTATAAAAACATGTACATGAGTTGCATTTATGAAAACCACCAATAGTCAACTTCACGATCAACAACATCAACACATTGAAGTAAACTCTTTTATAGAGCTGAAAGCTTTTTTTCATTTTTGTTTTTGTTTTGTTTTTGTTTTTTGTTTTTTGTTTTGTTTTTGTTTTTTGTTTTTTGTTTTTTGTTTTGTTTATATATATATAAAAGATCATTGTACTGTAATATTTACATTAAAGTATTTTCATTGTCTATATAACTACAATTAAGCTTTGGCCTTCTTGGGGCCTTTATTACCAGTAATCCTATCATGTAAGTTCTCTGGGGGTGTAGGTGGGGTATGATGTTGAGACAGATTCCTGCGTTGACTTTGTGGTGTGCTCATAAATTTGTCTATATATGATTGTGCGTTGTCAGAACTGTTTAAATTTGTCTCATTCACATTAGACTTTCCCTTTCCTGGTTTTGTAGGATTTGGTTTATTTGCATTGCTTGAATTGGCATCTGTTGTTTTCGGTTTTTTGTCTTTTGGTTTACTTGCCACATTTGTTTTTGATTTCAGTTTCTCAGCCTGTTCAGTTGACTGAGAATCATTTACAGATTCATCAGTGGTCACTATTTGTTCTTCATTATTGCTTACTACTTGAAATGTATTTGGACAATCCATCATCTTGTCGCCCATTAAGTTGCATTTTTTGCATACCCAATCATTTGGACAGTCATACACGAAATGACCAACCTGTAAGCATTTATAGCAAGGTTTTATATTGCCATCACTGTTAGAGCTTCTGTTTTCAAATTCAGGTTGCCCACTATGTATAACTATGGCCATGTATTTGCCTATTTGTAAATATCTGGCTATGGGTTTGTTCAACAGCTTACTAATTATTATTATGTCTCCTGTTTGACAGTTAGTGATTTTGCCATTAACCAGTAAACGTTTTCTATAGAGACCCTGTATGTAACAGCCCTGTAATGTAAGGGTTCTATGTATTTGCCCATCATCAGCAGAAATCGGCACATTTTTCACTGTAATTATGATGGCATCTGGTTGTAAATTGCCTTGATTTCGGGAATTTTTATTGTGGAAAAGAACTTGCCTGCCATGCAAGTTCATTCCTGTCACTAACAGAGACAGTTTGTCTTCCTCGTTATCCATGTAAATGCGCCACATATCACGGATTCTCTGAATACCTTTTATCCGTTCAGCTGGAATTTTTGTATCAATGGCTTTGTATATCTATACGTTCGTAAGCCATAGGGATCCCGGTGGTTTAACAGAACCATGTACATCGGTATCTGTCAGAAATATAAGTTTTATATTGTCACTGGGATCACTTGATTCACCTGTAGCATAAACAGCCCCAACTGTTTTGTTTTGGTTTGTGTTGGTGTTTGTATTTTACACTGCCTCGGAATATGACGCCATATTTGTTTTGTTTTGATTTGAAATGTCCACCTCGGGGTCTAACCACTCTTCTTGCATACCTTGCAATCCTTCTAGAAGACGTTTAAAACGATCTTTTGACATTTGTTTACACAATGCTTCAATCTCAGGTTCCATCATGAAGTTTAACCTAATGAAAATTCTTTTTTTTTCTGGAGTGGTATCTCGCTGAGCCTCCATTTTTTTAGTAGCTTTTCTAAAAATCTTGTTATTAAAAAATAATACTAGTAATAGTAGAAGCTTTTCTGAACAGGGATTGTATTGCTCACCAGAAAGCTATTAAAACCAAGAGTTCCAAGTTGAGAAGTCGAAATCATCTCTTTGTAAACTTTACAAACGCCATCACGAGTTGGTGGACCGTTATGGAATTTCTGTTTCACAGATGACGAATATGTTACAGTTATCGTAACTACAATCTTGTGCCTTTTCCCCGAGTTTGACCGACTGAATTATACTTATCTCCGGGTTTATACTTAAATGAGCAACAAGACGGGTGCCACATGCGGAACAGGATCTGCTTACCCTTCTAGAGCACCTGAGATCACCCCCAATGTTTGGTGGGGTTCGTGTTGCTCAGTCTTTAGTTTTCTATGTGTTTTGTGAACTGTTGTTGTCAGTTTGTCTATTTTTTTAGCCATGGCGTTGTCAGTTTGTTTTCGACTTATGAGTTTGAATTTCCCGTCGGTATCTTTCCCTCTTCTTTTTTTCTTTGACGCCCACTGAGTCGCAAAAGTCAGTAATATTGCATTATGCATCAATTAATTCCAAAAGTACTTACTTTTTACTTCATTGACCAAAGCATGAGTCTCTGCCCCGGAAATGTTTTGTTTTGTCATAAGAAAGGCATAATTTTTTTCCATTTTCACTTCAAGTTCAGCTGAAATAAGGTATATATGTATAATAAGGAGATGTAACTGATGCGCAATAATCAAAAAATATTTAAACCTTCACTGTTTTTTTACACGTGGTTTACTTTTAGAATTGATTATTCGAATATGCCTAGAAATCAAGTAGGAGGTAATAAACATAATGGAAGGGTCAATAAGAAAAACATAATGCAAAGAAAAGGATACAACGCCATTATCTAATGAAAAATATAAAACAGACAATAAATAATACACGGAACCCAATACACAAGACATAAGACTGAGCAACAGAAACTGACCCAAGTGTATCTGATTATATTTAAAAGAAGTAACTGATTTATATGAAAACCAGCATACAAATGTATAACAAATCCTCAACCATCAAAGAAAAAAAAAATAGTACTAGCTTTTCTGAACAAGGCTTGTATTTCCGATCATTTTAAGACAGTTATTGAACCAAGAATTCAAAGTGGAGAAGTCGAAATCTCACCCCTTTCTTATCTTTACAAACTCCATCACGAGTTGGTTGACCGTTATGGAATATCTGTTTCATAGATGACGATTATGTTCCAGTACTCGTAACTACAATATTGAACTTTTTCCCAAAAATTTGTCCCACTGAATCAGACTTATCACCGGGTTTATACTTAAGTAACACAATGGGTGCCACATGTGGAACAGAATCTGCTTAACCTTCCTGAGCACATGGGATCACCCCTAATGTTTGGTGTGGTTCGTGTTGCTTAGTCTTCAGATGTCT